TCAGGTAAAATGTCTTAGGCAGGTTTACAAAACAAGGATAGGTGTAACCAGATCTTGAGGGCCAGTAATTAGCATCAAAATAAAGCTTCAGAACAACCCCTAAGAGGAGATGTATTTCTAAGACCAACTACACGTATAAATATCACTCAGATATTGATTCCCCTTTAAAATATGCTTTCCACAGAATACTAAGTGAAGATGCTTGGGTAGCTAGGTTACTTTGTGGCTTAGGCCCAATTCATAGGCATAAACCTCTCAACTGCCACAACTACAAATTATAACACTAAGTGGTGGGGGCCTTTCTGAGTGGCAGAACTATGCCTGGCCAATACTAAAAGGAGGATTATCCCACACCTGAGAGACAAAGACTTAGAGAAACAAACAAGCAAACAATAAAAGCAGGTCATGGTTGGATAGATGGTCAAGAACACTTGCTACTTTTCTAGAGGACCCAGATTTGATTCCTAACACTCACATGGATGCTAACAACCATTTGTAACTCCAGTTCTATGGGACTCCACACCCTCCTCTGAACTTTGCAGGCACAGGGGCCATGTACATAGTGGATATGTTAGCAAAATACACATACATATAAAAAACAAAAAGCGACCTAGGGCAATGACTTACAGAGTTTTCAGACTTTTACTTGAGAATACTTCAGCATTCCTACTCTGAAATTTATCAAAGACATGTAAGTTAGGTGGACAAGGTCACGTTAGAACCCCTGAGTACTTCTAAAATACATTGTTATAAATATAAAAACAATAATGAACTCAATTGGATAGTTTGATAACTGTAAACTAAAAAAAAAATCAATGTTTTTTTCCCATTTTTATTAGTTATTTAAGAATTTCATGATATATTTTGATCATACTCACCCTCCTTTTCAGCACTTTCTAGACCCGCTGCCTTCCCCACTTCCCCACCTACCCAAAATGTTGTCTTAACGACACCCATCAGGTCTAACTTGTGCTGTCCATGTTACCCTTGGATATGTGGCCTTTAGCTGCGATATGTTGCTCTACCAGCAGTGGCTATGCCCTTAGAGAAAGCTGACCCTCCACCCCAGTTGTCAGCAGCTCCCCACTTTGCAGTGGGTTTTCATCACCTTCCCTCTCCTTGCGTGGATTCCATTCAGCTTGGGTTTGCAATGGTCCCGTGCATGCGATCCCTACTGTCATGAGGTCATATGCATACCTGCCCTGCTGTAGCCCTCTGCTGCTTCCTTGTAGTTACCCACCGACTCTGGTTCTTAAAATCTTTCTGCCCCCCCCCCCAAATGAGCCTGAGCCTAGGGAGGGGGTGGTATGGTATAGGTTTCCCGTTTAGGGCCGAATATTCCACAGTCTACTATTCTTTTCACCTTCTTGGGCATAGGTTTATTAATTAACATCTACTGCAAATCGAAGCTTATCTGATGAGAGTCGAGAGATGCATTATTCTATAGGCATAATGCATGTTCACTCAGCAGAATCATAGTAGGTTCTCTTTTAGGGCTTGTGACCACATGCTCTTGGCCTGATAATCATGCCAGATATGGTGGCCTTATATCCAATCACAGTGTTTGGTCACTCCCATAATATTTGTGACACTATTGTACCAGTGGGGATATCATTCCAGGCCAGTCATTATTGTAGATTGCAGGGTTCACACCTTTGTAAGACTTGTTATTGTTTTGAGACAGAGTTTCTGAGTGTAGTCCTGGACTCACTCGGTAGACCAGGATGGCTGCATACTCACAGAGATTCACCTGCTTCTGCCCCCTGAGTGTTTGAATTAAAGGCCTGTGCCACCTGCCCACCCCTATGTAAGATTAAGATTACTTTTCTCCGTTAGTAGTGTGCAGAGCACTTTCTAGCACTATGAAAGTTAGCCAGTAGGGATGAAGCTTCCAGATCAGTTCAAGCTTGGTTTCTCCATGATCTACGAATCAAGTATGAAGGATCTTCAGCAACATGGCTTCAGTGTCAAGTTCCAGAGGGTAACTGTCTTAAGTTATTTTTTTATTGCTATAAGAAAACATCATGACCAAGGCAGCTTACAAAAAAAAAAAAGCATTTAATTGGGCTTATGGTTTCAGGGGGTTAGAGTCCACGATGGTAGACTAAAGGCATAGTAACAAGAACAGCTAAGAGTTCACATCTTGATATGCAAGCAGGAAACAGAGAGAGAGAGAGAGAGAGAGAGAGAGAGAGAGAGAGAGAGAGAGGCTGGGAATGGAGCAAGTTTTTGAAACCTCAAAGCCTGCCCTCAGAGACACACCTCCTCTAACAACACCATTCATCCTAATCTTTTCCAACAGTTTGACCAGTGGGGAAACAAGCATTCAATCATATGAATTGATGGGCCATTATCATTCAAACCACCATAGCATTCAAAAGCACTGACAATAGCCTATAATGTTTGTCAGTATGAGACCTCACTGACTAACAACCCCAAGAGGTTCCTGTTTCCTGGCAATGGGCTTTTTTAATTTGTTAACCTATGGTATCTTGTAGGGGTATTGACACCTCATAAGAAGGTAAGTTCATCTGAACTCTTTTATACATGCATATGTATATACTTTACGAAGCGTCTACAGTAAGCAATAGGTTGTATGACCTTTTGGAAAGGTATTTAGTGTTATATATCCTTTTCCATTGTGATGGCCAATCTTGGTTGTCAGCTTCACTATTTTTTCAACCAACTAAAATTCAAACTGCTGGGCACTGATATGAGAGATTTTCTTAATCAGATTATTTGAAGCAGGAAGACCCATCTTAAATCTGGGCAACTCATCTGGTGGCAACCCACAGAAAAGGACAAAGAAGAAGGAAACCTTGCTTTTTGCTTGCTTATTCTCACTCTTGCTGGCAAGTTCATCTGTCCTTTGGCTTCTGCCAGTATTAATCCAACTTCTTCAGGATTCCAGCACAGACTTAAGATGAGCAGCTCTCCAAAAACCCTCTAAAAGTCCTGCACCATATTGAGACAGCAGAGACAGTCAGCCTTGTGCACTGAACAACGATTGAGTTTTTAGCCTTCTGTAGAGAAACAGCCATTGCTGGAATACCTGGACCACATCCTGTAAGCCATTCTAATAACTCCCCCATATGTGTGTGTGTGTATATATATATATATATATATATATATATATATATATATATATATATCCAACTCTGTTCCTTTAGAGAACCTTGAATAACACACCAATACTTCCTCCCATGCTCCTAGGACATGCTTAAGAGGATGAGGTAGAAGGATCAAAGGAATGGGTCAAAATGTTAATCTGTGTCAATACCAGGAATACTGCAAGTGGATCACTTGCTCTTTCTCTCACACAGTGAAGAAAGAAATGATAATAAAGAGTAAGTGAAGAAAAAGTAAAGAGAGCAGCAGGAGAGGGAAGGTTGAGTTGCCAATGGGTGATGTTTGCACATTGTCCCAGCTCATGGAACCTGAAAGATGGGACCAGTCACTCCTCACTTAAACACATTGTCCACATAATTACAGCAAGATATACATAATAAATGGCTTCCACTATAAATTTCATGATTTCCTTGTTTTTAATTGCTGAGTAGTATTCCATTGTGTAAATGTACCAGTTTCTGTATCCATTCTCCAGTTGGGAGACATCTAGATTGTTTCCAGATTCTGGCTATTATGAATATAGCTGCTGTGAACATACTCGAGCAAATGTCCTTATTGTATGGTTGAGCATCTTTCAGATATATGCCCACGAGTGGTATACCTGGATCTTGATGTAGCACTATTCCTAATTGTCTGAGAAAGCACCTGATTGATTTCCAAAGTGATTGTATAAGTTTACATTTCCACCAGCAATAGAGGAGGGTTTCCCTTTCTCCACATGCTCTCCAGCATGTGTTATCATTTGAGTTTTTGATCTTAGCCACTCTGATGGGTGTGAGGTGGAATCTCAGGGTCATTTTGATTTGCATTTTCCTGATAACTAAGAACATCAAGCATTTCTTTAAGGGTTTCTCTGCCACTCGGTATTTCTCTGTTGAGAATTTCCTGTTTAGCTCCGTGATGGAACTAGAAAATATCATCCTGAATGAAGTAACCCAGAAGCAGAAAGACACATATGCAATACACTCACTTATAAGTGGATATTAGCCATATAATATAGGATAAACATACTTAAATCTATAGTCCTAAAGTCCTAAAGTCCTAAGCTAAAAAATTAATGAGGACCCTAAGGAAGAGGCTTAATCCTCATTCAGAAGGGCAAACAGTATAGATATAAAAAGTAACAGAAGACAGGAAACAAGATAGGAGCCTTCCACAGGGGGGCCTCTGAAAGATTCTACCCATCAGGATATCTAAGGAGATGCTGAGATTCATAGCCAAACTTTGGGCAGAGTGCAGGGAATCTTATAGAAGAAGGGGAAGATAGAAAGACTTGGAGGGGACAGGAGCTCCACAAAGAGACCAACAGAGCTAAAAAAATCTGGGCTCAGGGGTTCCTGCAGACACTGATGAATTAACCAAGGACCATGCATGGAGAGGACCTAGACCTCCTGTTCAGATGTAGCCCTTGGGCAGCTCAGTCTCCACGTGTTTTTTTTTTTTTAGTAAGGGAAGCAGGGGCAGTCTCTGATATGGACTCAGTGGCCAGCTCTTTGATCACCTTACCCTGGTTCTAGGCCACAGAGAAAGAGGATCCAGACAGTCTTGATGAGATCTGATAGGCTAGGGTCAGATAGTAGAGAAGGAGGACTTTCCCTATCAGTGGAATAGGGGAGGGACATAGGGGGAGAAGAGGGAGAGAAGGGGAGACCAGGAGGAGATGAGGGAGGGGGCTGCAGTAGGGATACAAAGTGAATAAATTTTAATAAAAAATAATAATAAAGAAAAAATTTTAAAAACAAACTGATTATTCTTTTTTTATTTTTTTAATTTTATTTTTTTATCAGTTACATTTTATTAACTCTGTATCCCAGCCGTATCCCGCTCCCTCATTCCCTCCCAATCCCACCCTCCCTCCCTCATCTCCACCGTGCCCCTTTCCAAGTCCACTGAAAGGGGGGTCCTCCTCCTCATTCATCTGATCCTGTTTTATCAGGTATCTTCAGGACTGGCTGCAAAGCCCTCCTCTGTGGCCTAACAGGACTGCTCCTCCCTTGAGGGGTGGGGAGGTCAAAGAGCCAGTCATTGAGTTCCTGTTAAAAATACAAACTGATTATTCTAATGCCTTAAAAATGGTTTCTTCTTAATAGTAAATAAAGTAAATAAATTTTAGTAGTAAATAAATTTTAATGTTCAAAAAGTTCTCAAAAGTTATGAAAATTATTAGGAAGCTGAAAGAAACAGTGCTGTTAGTGTCCCTGCTAACTATAGGCTTCATTAAGAAGTTGTCTATGCTGTTTTACAACTAATAAAAACTTATTGCTATGGCCTGGTGGCCGCATTACTGCTATAACACATAACATTTTCCCAAACTAACATTAACTCCTGGTTTTCAGGAATGAAGAACTACTTGGCTGCATGCCTGTGCTCAGGGTCTCTCCTGAGGCTGGAGTCATCAGAAGGTCAGACTGGGGCTGAGGAATCTTGTCCAGATTCACTTGGAGGGGTCTTGGCTGGCCTTATAAATGTGTGCTGGGTTTCACTCCCAGGTCTTCTTCGCGGTGTCTGTAGCACTTGGCTTCCCCTGTGATGAGCTATCGGGGTACGAGAGAACATGCTATAAATGTAATCCACAAGTTGGTGAGAGCCTAGTCTCAGAGGAACACCTATTATTTCTGTTGTCTTTTGTCCTTTAGAAGTCAGGCATGGGGGCTCAAGCCTGTAGTCCTAGCACTTGAGAGGCTAAAGCAGGAACATTGCTGTGAGTATAAGGCCATCCTGGGCTACACTATGTGTTCCAGGCTACCCTGGGCTATAGTATGAAACCCTGTATCAAAAACAAAATAGCAACAACAGAATGAAGTCATAACGGTTAGCCTTCTTCTGGGAAGGACCCACAGGGCTATCTTGGAGGCTGTCCCACCCAAGGACTATGGGCTGGGTTATAGAATAGAAAGCCAGCATTCATTTTTCTGTTCCTCCACTTTCTAGCCTTATGATTTCCATCTCACTCTGTCTGTTGCCTCATCTTAAGGAAGAAATAGACCACTGAGAGAGAAAGAGGAGCTTGAAACCCTGCAGATGAGTAGGTAAGCCCCAGAGAGTTAGAGTGCCATTGAAGGCGTTTGTCAGATGCAGCCCATTTCTGAGTGTGGTGGAGATGACATGGGGACCCTCATGCTAGCACATGTCCTGGGAATTCATGTTAAACACCTGTGTGAGGTGGCAGCAAAGGAAGAAGTGAATGGTTCCATATCAGTAATGATACAATTGTAAATATCTGTCTGGGTAGGATGGAACTGGTCCCCTCACAGTACAGGCCTCAGTAGAAAGGGGATGCAGGATCGGGTGAGCCACCCTGAGATATACAGCCTTAGAGCAGTAGACTTGTTCTACTTTTCAGGTCTCCGCCTTAGTCCTGCGGAATAAGGTGTGGGGAGCCTCTTAACTTTGCCCTTTAGAAAGACTGTATTTGAGAACGGCCCATTTTAGTCCAAGGTCACAGAATTCCAATAGGACTAAAGTCAAAGTAAACATGCCACCTCAAGTCATTATTGATTTTAGGGAACAGCTCTCTCCTAGGGCCAAAAGCCCATGCAACTGCCTGTAAAGAAAACTCATGACTCAGGAAAGAGTACCCTCCAGATTATATGATAGTCACTCCACCCAGGACTTTCAGGATGCCCACATTACCTAATCTTCATACCCTTTAGATTATGTAATGTTACAGACAAGGAGACTATAGTCTAAAGCCACATAATGTGACCAGCTGATGCTCTGACCCCCGGCAGTCTGACTTCATATCTCATGGTCTTTACAACAACTGTAATAGCTAAGAAGAGAACAGAGTTCTCAAGTTATCAGACAGTCATTGCACACGCGTGCACATGACATTTCTTTCCAAATCCTTGCTGTATTCTTTTAACATTATTATTTATTACAATTTAGTCACTTCGTATCCCTGCTGTAGCCCCCTCCCTCATCTTCTCCCAGGTCCACCCTCCCACCTTCTTCCCCCTTTGCCCCTCCCCTAGTTCTCTGATAGGGGAGGACCTTCTCCCCTATCATCTGACCCTAGCCTATCAGGTCTTATCAGGACTGTCTGGATCATCTTTCTCTGTGGCCTACTAAGGCCACCTTGCCGGGGAAGGCGATCAAAGAGCAGGCCACTGAGTCAGAGACAGCCCCTGCTCCCCTTACTAGGGAACTTACTAGGGAATACATGAAGACTGAGATGCCTATGGGTTACATCTGAGCAGGAGGTTTAGGTCCTCTCCATGCATGGTCCTTGGTTGGAGCATCAGTCTCTGCAGGCCCCCCCCCCCCCCCCCCCCCCCCCCCCCCGCCTGGGCCCAGAGTTGAGGAGAGAATATCCCATGAGTAAACTATCATTGCCCTATGTCTTCTGCTTTTCTAGTATATCCCAGGGTACAGTCTCCCAGACAAGGGGGGAAAGGAAGAAGATAGTGAATCCCAGATTTTGGGTCCAGGGACCTCCTAGAGACATTGTATCTTTCTTGAGAATGTAGTGTTTACTTCTGATTGTCTGGAATCTTGGTAGGGTCCAATTACCAACGATCAATACTAACACACTGGGAAACCAGAAGCTCCATCTAGGCTTTCAGCCAGTATTCACGGTGAAGATGCTGCAGATACCTGATCTAAAGGACAGTTTGTGGAATACTTGACACACAAAGATTACGGGAAGGGAGAGTGGTGCTTTGCTTCTTGTCCTGAGTCTTCCTTGAGCAGAGATGGGGTAGAGCTGTCACATTCAAAGAGCTTTGGAGACTGGACTGTGATGAGGTCCTGGGGTGGTTCTGCCTGCTGAGAACTGGTGAGGCCAGAAGAGCTTCTTTCAACTAACAGTATTGCCCAAACTGGCTTGGGGATTAAATAATTCCATGGGAACTCCTTTCACATTAATAGGAAAAGAGTCCTAAAATTTATATGGATTCACTAAACACCCTAAACAGACAAAGCAATCTCAAATAACAAGAACGTCCTATTTGGAGACATCCTTTTTGCAAGGCTCCAACAAAACTGCAAACCACAACAGCAGAGCTGGAACAGAAATACTGTGTAGAGCAGCAGAACAGGAGAGACAGCCCAGAAACACACTGACCCCTCCACAGTAACTCGACCTTCAGCAAGAGTGCCCAGTATGCAATCAAGAAAGGACAGTCTCTTGGAGATCCACATGCAGAGGAATAAAACTGGACGTGAATCTGACCTCACACATTAAAAAAGTCAACTCAAATGGACTAAAGGATTAGTCAAGGTCTAAAACTGAAAAACTGCTAGAGGAACAGGGAAAAAGCTTGTTGACAATGACTTGAGTAATCAATTCTGGAATGACAGTGACTGCACTGAATTAAAAAGCTTCTGCACAGCAAAGAAAAACTTAATAAAGAGACAATCTAAAGAATGGGAGGAAATATTTGGAAACTATACTTTTGAAAAAAGGATTACTATCTCAGGAATACAAACAAGCCTGCGGGGGAAAATATTGCTGGACATGGTAGAACATGCTCTGATCCTAGTGCTCAGGAGGCATAGAATTATAAATCTGAGGCTAACCTGGGTTTCATAGTGCCAGGCAGCATGAGCTACATAATGAGATTCTGTCCAAGCAAACAAACAAATCTAAAGGAACCCATGTAGAAAACGATCAATGTTCCTGAAATACACATTTTTCAAGAGAAGACCTACAAAAGTCCAACTATACAGAAAAGTGCTCAGTAGGAACTTTTATTAAGAAAACATCACAAATCTCTGTGCGTCCAGCACAGCTGGGGCAGATATGCAGAGAAACCCTGTCTTGAAAAAACACAAAAAGAAAACATCACAGAACTCCAAGGAGTTATCATCTCAGGCCTGTAAGAACGGCCTTCTCAAAGAGAGAATGATAATTTTGGTGAGTATGTTGAGAAAAGGGACTGTTGTCTATTGTTGAGAAGATAAGGTAAACAAATAAAGCTGTCACAGAACACAGTAGAGAGGGTGCTGACAAATTAGGACAATTCTATGGCCCAGCACTGTCCCTTCTTGGTATATATCCATAGGAATCGAGATCAGCATGTCAAAAGAGCTGCACTGCTAGATTCATTTTATCAATGTTCACAGTATCAACGACATAGAGATAACATAAATGCCCATAAACCGATGAATAGGCAAAGGCAGTGTGGCAGATGTGCAATGGAAGACTTAAAAAAAAAAAAGGACTTTATGCTTAGTTGACTAAACCAAGAATAGAAAGATTAACACTGCATGAGCTCACTTTAGGCTAGTCCTTGACTGGGGTCCAAACTACTCTAGTACCAACCTGCTTGCCAACTGCTGACTCTGTCTGACCTGTAGTCACCTATCCTGGGCACAAACTCCAGCAGCATCCACCCACAGGGTCTGCTCACCTCATACTGAAGTTACCCCAATCCATGGCTTGATTCCAATGCTCACAAAGTGAGTATGTATTTGCTGTAGCTCTACATAGGAGACCAACAAGTCTGCTCATATTGTTATTTTGGAAGCTGCCGTTATTATCTACAAAACTTTGAGTATCACAAGCAAATGTCAACCTAAAATCAACTGATCAACTGCTAGTCACTGGTCCTCATATTAACTGACAGAAAATGAGAGTAAATATTAGCTGTACGTTAAAGTCGATAAAGCACGACTGACGAGAAATTTTTTAGCATTAATATTTATCTTGGATACACATGTAAATATTAATTTTTTTCAGAGCTAATTATTTCTCCTCATTCAAATGCTCACAATTTGCCATAAAAAGCTCTGGAAAACCTGGAGAAGTTTGCCTAGCTAGGCTGCATGCTCTGCCGTCTGTTTTTAACTCCTGTGTGCTGGGATTAGTCAGGTGGTTCTGCCCACATAGCTTTTATGCAGATTCTGGGAATCCAAACTCCAGTCCTAATGCATACAGACAATGCATACCAAGTCACCTCCTCAGCCTCAAGCTGTTGTTTTGTTTTTAAAGGCACATAATAAGGGGAATGGATCCACAAAAACCTAAATAACTTTGTGTTGATATTTGGGCATACTTCATTCCAAAATAAAAAAGGAACAGTTTCCTGCT